GTACCTCCTACGTTGTTTCTAAGTTGGATGTAGACAAAGTGCCTCTAGGGATTTGGCAAACTCTGATAGAAACTGGTTGTGGTTATCTGCAACCAGTTGGAATTCCAAGAGGATTACCAAAGTCGCACCATGGGCTTAATTGTTAGTTATCCAATAAATTGTCTGTTATAGGTCCATTATTTTAATTGCTAGTTTTTTTTTCTTTACTTAAGTTTTTTATTCAATAAAAAGAGGATAAAAAAGTATCCATTTTATTCATTAATAAGTAATAGTCATTGTCTAGGTTTATAGTTTACCAAATTTTTTAATAATTGGTAACAATAACAGTAGAAAATAGCAATGTCAAGCAATTTAAATAATCTGCAATCAATTTCCAGTGTTCCGCTTTCAATCATACTACAACTACAGATGAGTATACATTCCACTCGGAGGGGGGTATTAGATTTAGCTCTTTATATCTCCGAAAGTGGGGTGGCCACACAGTAGAACTTTGCCTTGATAAGATGTTCATTCTTTCCACCATTTCATTAGAGGTAATATCTCGAACTCTTTATCAACCAGTCAACTTCATCAACTCTTTGAACTACCCTTCTTCCACCGCCATTCACAAGTAGACCCACGATAGATGGTGGCACATTAGATTTAACTGTTGAACTTACTGAGTAATCTTGAAGATTCGAAGAAGACGAGCACATCGCAACACAGACAATCCTATCGGATCCATGACACTGAAATACGTCAGGATAATCTCTAGAATCGACACCACAACCACAAGAAAGTCATATCGATTGAAGAGAGTGGCAAAGTAGTCCTGAATTCCGTAAGCTGACATTTTCAGAATCATTTCCAACGTAAAGAGACTCACAAAAAGACCATTGGCAAAATCTGTGCGTGAAGATTATACAAATAGATTATGGATCATTTTACAGATTACCGTGTACATAATTGAGCAAATGCTTTACTCTGAAATTGGTTGAGCCATTGGGGTTGATTGTGATGTTCGGTTGCTAGGACAATGGTGTTGAGAAGAACAAAAGTGAGAATGAGAGCGAAGAATTGGCGACTTTTTACGAAGGCTGCTATCACACGCCTCAGTCGTTTGCGGAATTTATTTAGTCGTCTAAAAGCAACGAATAAATTGGCCACTTGATGTCGGTTTTAGTACATCAGGTAAAAACAGGGACATATCCAAACATTTACGAAACAAATCAAAGTCTCAGATAATGGGAAAAGTGAGGGAAAGTGAGGTTCATTTTCGGATCTGGTTTTCGATCGCCTTTGGCGCTTGGTAAAACAGAGGTTGGCATACTTCGTGGTTTAGCTCACATCCTGCCACCTTTTAGGGCAGTCAATTTACAAGATTACAAGAGCCCTTTTGCATGACTCAATATCCAAAACATTTGGAAGATGAGTAATTGTCAAGATTTCGAAATTGGCGCAAAAAAAGAACAATTAAGATGTCTAGATTCGGGCAAAACAGGAAATACATCTGTAGACAATACATGGGAAATATTTTTGGATTATTCCGAAAATGCGGATTTTATTTATCTTCCTGATATAAAAATTGGTGCTACAACAGAGGTGGGGGGGAAGGGGGGGGGTCATAACACGCAGGTGTGTGCTGGATGACACTTGACCCTAAAAGAGGTCAGAGTTAATCGAAGTCAGGAGGAAACATTTGGGGGGTACTTTGATGTACTTGTGGCTCGTAAAAAAGGACATATTTCCACGTCAAATACAGCGGAAAAAAACGTCTATTTTGTTCATGAAGCCATAAATCATATGACGCATCATGGAATACGAATTCTGGAAAGTGAACGACCGAAATTGAAATATGAAATTGCGGAACTTCGACGTTACTCCAAGCGTCTTTCGAACCCATTCCATTTATAGTTTACTTGAGTTTGCAGTTTCATTTTCACATTAGAAATTTGTAAAAAAAACAACTGTAATTTATGACAGGATTTCACAAAAAATTGAATAAGTTTTCTTGTTCGAGACATTTAACTAGTTTAATAAATTCAGATTAAAAGGCACTTATTATTTCGAACGAAGGGCCAAAATTTATTTCTTCAAATTCACAACCAGAAAAGTATGACAATGCAAAATGAAAAAAAATAATTAATATTTTCAGGGAAATCCCAATACAATTCCTACTCTATTAAATTATATTAAACCCAGGCACAGACGCAGGCTTGTCAATTACTCACTGCCCGTGTCACAACCACAGTTATACACTAGACTTTGGTCGACATTAAATTCTTACTGTTTCATACTTCACACTCATTACGGGTTGTCTATTGCCAACAACAGTAATACGAATCTCATCGGGGAAGATAAAATGCTGAAAAAAAACGAAATGAAAAGAGCCTTAGCTCCGGGGGACTCTGGTGCAATTGTCACTTAATCGCTTTGAGAGGAAGGTTTTCAAGTCAAGAAAGCGTCAATAGTAAAACGTGTTATAACAGATTCCTTCACATGGTCGCGTGGTTCGTCCCATTGAGGGATTTACAGTGACTCTTCCGTATTGTTTCCTCAAAAAAAGTGAGCTAAAAGTATTCAAGCACTCCATTATGATGAGTGACCAATTGTTGACGTCAACTTAAGTACCTAACCACTCCTGCTTCCCCAACACCCCCCCCCCCTCCCTCCCCCACCAACCAGACCACTTCCAAATTTTTCCGTGCAGTGTTGCACTTCGTTAGTTTTGTTGGTTCAATAGGTGCATAACTCTGATTTATTGAGGAAGAAGCTCTCCCAGCAAGATACCCTCTGCGTGACTACAATAGAGGGAAAGTGCGCTGTTCATGTAAGCTGGAGAAGAACAAAAATGTGTTCTGCTGGAATGAAGAAGTGGAGCTACATTTCTATTTCTATTTTAGCAAACTCTGGACGGGGGAGGGGGAGGGGGCAGTGGAATTGCTATTTCGGTCACGACGCACATTTTGTCATTTAAAGGCGCAAATTACATAACAGTCACCTAGTAATGTTGGATCATGTGAGAAACAAATTTAACCAACCTGCCAATTTATGCCCCCCCCCCACCCAAAAAAAACCTTGTCAACATGAAGTTTGGATCATCACGCCATGGAACAGTGAATTATATCCCCTTAAGTGAAAAAGCCCCATTTGTTGAGTGCAGCTCTCTCTCTCTCTCTTGCGTTGTTTAAATGATAATTTTCGGTCATTGCTATGGTCAATTTGACACCACTAGGCGTGGCTGTCACAATGGATTCAGATCTGTTGAGATTGGAGATAGTTTTTCTTTTAATCCAAAATAGATGAATAGAAGTTGTCTTCGTGTTAGAGGTCGAGAGTACCACCGGGAGAGAGTTAAGAGTTTGATTTCAAAAAAAAAAGTTGTCAAGCTGATGAGGACGACATTAGTGGGAACATGGATCAGCAAATAAATGAAGAGAGAGAGGGGATTCGTAAAGATCTAAAAGATTCGAAGGGGTATGCGATAGACGTACCTTAATGTGGTGCACCTTACCTAACGTATACTTACAAGGCAAAAAAGGTCTATCAAACCGGCAGTTGACTTCTGACTTCAAACAACCATGACCCGACTGACTGTACGTCATATTCCATGACTTCTACAGTAATCATCTTACCTTTTTCTCTACCTTTGTATCATGTTCTATTACACCTATGAATAAGTCTTCTATTCCTCCCCCCTCCCCGCCTTCTAGACATTTTTGTGACTTTGGTATTCCCCTCCCCCCTCTGTGTAGCCCGAAATCAGCTAAAGGACTAATGATAACTATCAAAGTGCCTGTCATTTGATACAAGCTTTCAATACCGCGGCCAAAACCCCTGTTCATATTCTCAATTTATGGTGTGTGATAGACTTACCTCCACGTGGTGCACCCTGGGCAACGTGCACTCATCATAAGGCAAAAAAGTCTATTAACCGGCAGTTGACTTCTGACTCCAAACTACCATCACCCCACTGTATGTCAAATTCGACTACTTCAACCATTCTCACCTCACCTTTTTTCCAACTATGTGTCTGTCTCTTTTCTATCTTTGAAACACTCTTCTGTCCCCCCCCCCATCTCGACCTTTTTCACTTTGATGTCCCTTCCCATCTGTGAAGCCTGAAGTCAACTAAAGGGCTAATGATAACTACCAAAACGCCTGCCATTTGATATAAATAAATAAATATTCTCAATTTCAGCCACTACAGGAGGAGTGATGCAGTCCTTTAGCCCGTCATGAATAACCATACACAAATAAACGATTTCTGGAAGAAGAAGAATACAGCGTGTAGAACGAGTACCAAACTGACCAAAACCGCAAAGTAAAATGAAATTTAAAGGAAATGAATGCTAATGAAACCTTAGTTCAACGTTGTAAGGAAGACTTCCTTTCCAGTTGACTCAAGAGACATTAAAACATTAAAGAAATCTTTGAGGGGGGGGGGAATAATTATGCCAAGGAGGTCTCACCGTATCCCCTCCCAACATTTAGATCGGCCAGTCGGTTCATGCTCAGCCACTTGGTCTTCCACAATCTCACCATCCATCAGACCTAAAATGGGTAACAACACAAAAATGAAATTCATTAATAATTTTGCTCAAATAAAGATAAGACACATAGTCTGAGGGGGGGGGGGTGGAAGGTGGGCAACAATTACGGTTATCCGAAAGCTACGCGCATGTGAATAACGCATTTATTTAATAACTTTGATTGCTATAGATGCAACGGAATTCCAAATGCGGAATTAATTGGCTAAACATAGAATTAAGGGGAATGGAACATCAACGGGATGGGTCTGTCAAGTTTAAAATATTTTTTCCCGCATGTTGTAGCTTTTTCTGTCAACAAACATTTTCAGATGTTCACGCCTTGCTAGGAGAGGTCTTAGTAGTGCTCGGTTTGAATAGAAGGACGGTAACCTAGAGTAGCTCTATTGTGAATCTCGCGTTCTGTCACCAATGGGTTTGAGCATTCATGAGCATCGATCCCATTACTACCGGCTGAGCAGACGTACATGTTGACTAACGCTCTTCCGAAACAAATTAATCCCTGACACAATAATGCGTCTGCTTATTAATACTACTGTACATTACACCCTTTAGACAAGGAGGAAATCGCTTAGGAGATTGGGGTTGTTAGAATTGATCCAAGGATTCAGGAATTTTCTCATTTCTAGGAAAACAAGTATATATACGTTACAGTTTATTCAAATTGACCTCTCGATATACTCGTGTTGAATCTGTTGCTCACATTAACTACGACTTTCTAATGTGCCATTTCATGCTCCCCTGGTCTTGATACCAATTGGAAAATGGGAAAGGGAAGACCAACATCCATAACTCTTTTCAACGCTATTCGCTGTGGATCGCTTGAATATTGGATAATAGCTGGCCGTGTGCGTGAAAGCCTGCGCTCGGTGACTAATACGAAATGTCGCCAAAGAAGGGGATCGTAAAACAACCACAGGTGGGCCGCTGGCGTGGCGAAGCAAACGCACACACACATTTGACTAGATGGGAAATTTTCGGATGATTCAAACAATACAGAATGTCCCCCCTCCCCCCCACCCCTATTTCCTCCTTTTACGTTTAATGAATCGTCTCGTGTCTTCAACAATCCAGAGTACCTTTCGAGAGGAATGCGAAGAGAAACGAGACGAGTTTACCAGAAAGGAGTTCAACTTTCCAGCTGACAACTATCAAAGAGGACTTGATGTGTCCAATTCCAGGATACTTCGAGCCTTTTAAAAGTATCTGGTTCTCAACATTGTCGTTAAGTTTAAGTTAATTGATTTAGAGTTAAATAAAGAGTCTGTTTGATTAATTCTTATTAATAAAGAAAACATTTTATCCACTACATTTTGATAGCCCCAACAATAAAGTTGGGTTATTGATGAAGACCACTTTGAGAATAATGTTAGCTTACTCAAATTGTTTAAATCCAATTAATTTGTTATCTAATTAGTTGATTCACGTTTGTGCTCCAAATTCACATTATTGGATAAATAATGCACTGAATGATAAATTCATATGCGTTACCAGAATTTTTATCTGGGTCATCACTAATAAGTGGGAGATAAGTATCTCGGCTTCACAGTGATGCTTCAAGGGTTTGACCCGGCTGCAAATGCTCGACTGAAGTAAACTCAAGTCCCTCAGAGAGAACCATTGTGTGTCCTCAAGAGTTTTATTCTAATCCATGGGATAATACACCTAATCGGTTCTTGGTTGAGTTTTGCAATGTCCCCCTCCACACACACACACACACACACACACACACACACACACACACACACACACACACACACACA